GTTTCCTAGAACTTGCTGCAGATGTGGACTCTTTGAAACAAAGGGATATGCGGAGGGGCACTTCACACTCCTCACACTAAAACGAGTGTCTCTGCGTGTTTGTGGGCGGTTTTAGTTGTTTGGATACATACATAACACCTCTTCTTAGCATTTTTCTTGGCAGTAGTAGGAGGCAGTGTATGGGGTAGTGATCACCAGGCCTCAACGTGATGACGTATGTGGGCGCTGGTCTATTGCAGGAGTTGCTCTTTGGTACTTTGCAATTATTTGTCTGTTACTGACAGCAAAATTCACCATATTTTGGTGTTTTGTTGGTCTTCAACTTGTATATGTTATAAGCATTTAGCATAGAGTATCAACAAGATGGAAAAAAAGTTGTATAACCACTTATAACTCTTGCGTACACAGTCTGCAAACCCAATCTGCATGTCTCATTTTTTTACACTAGCGCATATTGAGGTTGTAGTCCATGTCAGCTGCAGCTTTAGAATGGGTTCATTGGTCTCTTTGTCTGTCCCTGCCACATGGGTACCATTTCGTTTTGTGTGAACTGAGTCAACAATGTGACTTCACGTTTGTCATGCCACGAAATCGCCATGATGTCATTGGAGCAAAGGCTTGCACCTCACCTCTGCGAGTTGCCAGCGTCGAACCTTGGATATGTTTGCGATTACCACGCACTGTGCCACACACGTCTGTCAAAGTTCACTCGCAAGAAATCACTGAGTAAGGGGGTTGCCCCCCCCGGCCCGGGGGCGGCTTGTGTACCAGTTATCAGTAAATATCATTATGCCCCCCTTACCAGATATGGTTCCATCATTGTTGAAAAACATCACCAGAGATACAATAACTTCATGGTATCTCTCAAGTTAATTACTGCCAGTGTACACAATAATATCTAAAACAAGACACTTCTGCAATCACACAGTACAAATAGCTTTATACCAATGCGTTTCTCTTGCCTTGGTATATTATTGCTTGAATGAGAGTCTTTTTGAATAAATCTAGGACTAAACAATAACAAGCTTCCTAGAGGAAGGGATAAAAATAAATTGCAGCACTTTTGTTTCAGGTACATAAACAATTTCTTATTTATATAACCTGTCGCTTCTGTAAGCTGGTTTTGTCTGAAAAGTGTAAATCACGCAACCGTATCAGGAAACCGATTTGACAATATAATGTCCACTAAAACCGGGAGTTGAAATCAGGCGATCTGTTGTCCAGTATGTGGTGACAGTGTGCTTATACACATGTGGCATAAGCATTTTTTGTGGCAAAAAAACAGGTACATCTCTGCCACAGTTTGTCTCCTTCCACTTGTGTAGCCGTGATTTTGGTGAGAGAATTGTATTTGCCATGGTGTATTCACAGTATGTGTTGGTTTTCCCTGACAATGATGTCCATCAGGGGTTCATCGAAAAATTTTACTCAAGCAGTCCATTTCACTGGCATTGTTCCCCAAGTGGACAAGATGGCTTTATTCCTTTGTGTTTCATCAAAGTATGGGACGGGAACAAACTCGTCACCCGTCCTGCCAATCCCAGATGCGTCTGCGGGTGGGGTCTGGATATTGTACCGTGGTTGTGGCTGTGGTTGTGGCTGTGCAGGTTGTGGTGGTGCAGGTTGTGGCAGTGTGGGTAGGGGTGAGGCTGGTTGTTCTGCTGAGTCAGCCGCGTGGCTAGTAGCGTGGCCCGGTGATGGTGCCACATGGCCGTGCCACCCTCACTATCACCACCACTGCCTCCTCCCTCACTGTCACCATTCATACCCATCGTTAAAAAATTTTCATCATCTTCACTATCAGGTCGTGGTGTTGGGCCACGGGATGTGCTCCAGAGTTTTCCCTTCCCCTTGGAACAACATATGAAACACTACCGGGACCGCATGCTACGTCGTACATACTGGCGCTTCACTGGGGAATATTCACTCTCACTGTCACTAGAACTGCTTTCAAATGACCTTGAAATCACTATCACTATCACTATCACTATCACTGCTATCATCAGGGTTGTTGTACACGACCAAATAGTTTTTCCCCTTTCGTCCCTGGTACAGGCGAAGGTGAATGTGAACAAGCCGGCACAGCACCAGAGGTCGAAGGTTGTGGGTCATCTGGGTTTTCGTCACTATTTACGTTTTCCTGGGCACTTTTTTCGGTAACACTCACTTGAAAAACCCTTGAATTCACTGTCATGACATTTTCATCGCTGTTTAGAGCTATCACTTGGGAACAAAAGACCTCCAATCCGCCGAGGAGTGAGGAACTTCTTACCGAGAGGCATGGTGAAAATGGACTGACAACATGGCGTTCCCACAATGCACCGCTAGGTCCGAGATTTTTTTCACAGGGTGCACACCGACCACTGAGACCCATTCTCTCCCGTGTAGGCCTACCAGGCCTTTGGCGCGCGATTTGAAGCCGCTAGAATTTGTGCGTATAAATACGTCAGAAACATTGGCTCGTAAGACGTATTTATACGTCGGAAACAGTCAAAGGGTTAAAGCTATGTATGGATCCTGCCTCCACTACATCACTTCCCAGACTATTCCACTTCCTGACAACTCTGTGACTGAAGAAATACTTCCTAACATCCCTGTGATTCATCTGAGTCTTCAACTTTCAATGTGACCCTTTGTTGCTGTGTCCCATCTCTGGAACATCCTGTCTCCGTCCACCTTGTCAACTCCTCTCAGTATTTTATGTGTTGTTATCATATCCCTCCCTATCTCTCCAGTCTTCCAGTATTGTGAGGTCAAGTTCTCTTAATCCTTTGACTGTCATGACCCCAGATCCTAAAGTATCTCTATCTGTTGCAGAATTTTTGAAAAAAAAAAAAATTTCATATGAAATGATAGAGAATCTTTTCCCGATGTTAATGACACCAAAAGTACAAAATGTGATGGAAAATTTACGGAATTACTCTCTTGAAGTTAGCGATTGGCGATTTCACCCACTTTGAACCCTATTTTCGGCCAATTCCATTGTTCCAGTCAACCAAACTCATAGCTATTTCTTTAGAACTCCATTTGTTCTATTGACTGAGTACAAGAAGCTGCCCATTTACCAATTTCAACTACCAAATAAAGTGGTCAGAAATTGGCAGTTTGGCCAATTTCACACAAGTTTCAAAAGATGCCAATTTCAAAATAGGGTCCAAAATAAATAATGCAGACATTCCTGGCACTAAAATAACATTTTCTCTGCTCATCAGTCACGTCTCCAGGCCCCTCTTATATTACTCTTGCTTTTTATTTTGAATTTTTATTCACACAAAAAATAGAAGATTTCCTGTTACACATACTACTGCTGCATTATTGTAATAATTGTATAAATAATGTCAACCCATTTGTGACTGCGTATTAGAATGGCTGGTTGGACACTTATTGGACAATGACGTCATTTGTTTACTCTTGAACATTGGCAAAAATTGAACATTTCCGTTACATTGAGCTCAATTTCAAGGTCCTTTTCATTGTGAAACCAATCAAAATCATCTTTATTTCTGTAATATGTCTTCCATTCTATCAAGTGAGACCAAGAAAACGAGAATACAACCATAAATACTACACAAAAATACACCTCAGAGTCAGCATTTTGATCCAAAAACACAGAGTTGTTTTTTTTTCTCTCTTATGCACTGTGTGCTGCAGGATTTTTTTAAACTGTGCACACTGACCACACAGACCCATTCTCTCACAGGGGGGCCTACCAGCTTTCTCCTGCTTGATTTGAAGCCACTAGAATTTTGGAGTATAAATACATCAAAAACACTGGCTCATGAGACGTATATGTATGACCGAAACAATCAAAGGGTTAACCTCACCTCATAGGCCATGCCCTTTAGCTCCGGGACTAGTCTTGTTGCAAACCTTTGCACTTTCTCTAGTTTCCTTATGTTCTTGGCCAGATGTGGGTTCCAAACTGGTGCTGCATACTCTAATATAGGCATAACATAGTGTACAGGGTCCTGAACGATTCCTTGTTAAGATGTCGGAATGCTGTTCATAGGTTTGCTAGCCACTCGTATGCTACCTTTGAGGAGTTTTGAGAGTTTAACAACTCTCAGAGCCTGGCCATGGGCCAGGCTCATAGCTGCAGCAGTTATTTGGTTGATGTGCACCTCAGGAGATGTGCCCGGTGTTATACTCACCCCAAGATCCTTTTCCTTGAGTGACGTTTGCAGTCTCTGGCTCCCTAGACTGTACTCTGTCTGTGGTCTTTTTTGCCCTTCCCCAATCTTCATGACTTTGCACTTGTTGGGGTTGAAACACCAGGAGCCAGTTGCTGGGTCAGGCCTGCAGTCTGTCCAGATCCCTTTGTAGTTCTGCCTGGTCCTCGTCCAATTGAGTTCTTCTCATCAACTTCACATCATCTGCAAACAGGGACACTTCTGAGTCTATTCCTTCCATCATGTCATTCACAAATACCAGAAACAGCACCGGTCCTAGGGCTGGCCCCTGTGGAACCCCACTCGTCACAGGCGCCCATTCTGACACCTCACCATGTACCATGACTTGCTGTTGTCTTCCTGACAGGTATTCCCTGATCCATTGCAGTGCCTTCCCTGTTATCCCTGCCTGGTCCTCCAGCTTTTGCACTATTCTCTTGTGTGGAACTGTGTTAGATGCCATTTTACAGTCCAAGAAAATGCAGTCTACCCACCCCTCTCTCTTATCTTACTGCTGTCTCCCTCTCAAAGAACTCGAGTAGGTTTGTGACACAGGATTTCCCGTCCCTGAAACCGTGCTGGTTTGCATGCATATATGTGATGTGTGGACATCTCAGTATTGAGGAATTCCTGGAAGAAAAAGGCTTGAAGGTTATTGACTGAAAGATTTCATAATTTTATATTCTTAAGCTATAAATTTTCCCTTTATTTTCTTCGTGAAAAAGTTGATTTTATATATCATTGATAATACTATTGAAGGTGTTTTTAACGAGTACCTTAAATGTCTTAATTTCATTTAGTATGAGAATAAATTTTATCTTAATTTTTCAGATAATAAGGTTTATATATGGCATCACCGGAGAGAATTACCCGTTGTTACACTTGTTGGACATACTCGAACTGTAAACTGTGTGACATGGAACTCTCGGTATCCAGCCATGGTCGCTTCTGTGTCAGATGATGCTACAGTTCGCATATGGGGACCTGCACCCCAGTACAGGCCAACCACTTCAAGCCAAAATGGCACAAGTGCCACTACCAATGGTAAAGTGGAAGATTGATTGTAAAATCAAACTCCAGAGTCAAGTATTTTTTTTTTCCTTTTTAACACAGAATGTAGATAGCTATCGAAATGCCAAGTAAAAAATAGACATTTGGGAAGATTTTTGCCTTTACAGGGTAACCATCACTAAAATAGTCTAGTCCCTACTTAGTATTTCTACAGTATTTTATTATCCTTTTGTGCCCTATTTAATCTGGACTTATTTATCTTTACCTTTCTTTGAACTTTCAATTTCTGATGAAAATTAAAGATCCTGTTTCATATATGAATGCACTAAACTAAATTATTCCGCACATACAAGAGAAATGTGAGGCAACTATTTGTTATGTTGTGTGGGGGCAGGATATTTGGTAAAATGAAAACATCAAACTCATAATCAAGCAATGTATTGGTCTTTTTTTTTTTTTTTTTTTTTTTTTTTCCAACAAGTTGGCCGTCTCCCACCGAGGCAGGGTGACCCAAAAAAGAAAGAAAATCCCCAAAAAGAAAATACTTTCATCATCATTCAACACTTTCACCACACTCGCACATTATCACTGTTTTTGCAGAGGTGCTCAGAATACAACAGTCTAGAAGCATACACATATAAAGATACACAACATACCCCTCCAAACTGCCAATATCCCAAACCCCTCCTTTAAAGTGCAGGCATTGTACTTCCCATTTCCAGGTCTTATCATCATTTATTTTTATTTACAACTGCACACTTGATGTACTTATGAACACATCCTGCTGAAAAATTTTCTGTTTCTCATGCAATCTGACTAAGATCATCACTCGTGTCTCGATATTGCTGTCAGTACATTACAGTGGACCCTCAACCAACGATATTAATCCGTTCCTGAGAGCTCATCGTTAGTCAAAATTATCGTTAGTCAAGTTAATTTTCCCCATAAGAAATAATGGAAATCAAATTAATCCGTGCAAGACACCCAAAAGTATTGAAAAAAAAATTTTTACCACATGAAATATTAATTTTAATACACACAAGCTGAAGATTACATGCACAGTTACATGACACTTAACTTTATTGAAGATCTGGTGATGATTGATGGGATGGGAGGAGGGGAGAGCATTGATCTTCTTAGTGTTTAGAAGAGGGATTGGTATTAGGAGGCCCAAAAAACCCTTCACTTTAAAAGAAGCTCATGTCCCTAAAAGTCGCTCTGCCAATTCTGAAGGATGACCAGGGGGCATTGTCCTAATACCAGGAGGCACTTAAGGTCTAATTTTTTTTTCAAATAGGTAATTTTTCACATTTGGGGGGCAATGCATGGTGTAACCAGTCATAGAAAAAGTCCCTAGTGACCCATGCCTTACTGTTTGCCCTCCACAGCACAACAATTAGCCTTGAGGACATTGTTTTTCCTGAACACTCTGGGAGTTTTTAGAGTGATACACCAATAAAGGCTTCACTTTGCAATCACCACTAGCATTGGCACACATCAACAGAGTAAGCCTGTCTTTCATAGGCTTATGTCCTGGAGTGCCTTTTCCTCCTGAGTAATGTACGTCCTGTTTGGCATTTTCTTCCAACACAGGCCTGTTTCGTCACAATTAAACACTTGTTCAGGTTTCAGTCCTTCACTGTCTATGTACTCCTTGAAGTCCTGCACATATTTTTCAGCCGCTTTGTGGTCCGAACTGGCAGCCTCACCATGCCTTATCACACTATGAATGCCACTACGCTTCTTAAATCTCTCAAACCAACCTTTGCTGGCCTTAAATTCACTCATATCACTAGTTGCCGGCATTTTTTTAATTAAATCGTCATGCAACTTTCTAGCCTTTTCACAAATGATCGCTTGAGAGATGCTGTCTCCTGCTAAGTAAGTAAGTAAGTTTATTCAGGTATACACAAATACAGTTACATAGAATTATCGTACATAGCAGCATATGTGCAGAAAACCTAGGATAACCCAAAAAAGTCAGACAGAGTGACTTATCTGTTTCTCGTTTATCCACACCAATAAAAGTCTCTCAACATCTTCTATCACTTGCGATCTCAGTTTCGAGAACATAGTTGCACCTTTGGCAAGAACAGCTTCCTCGATTGCCGTTTTCTTGGCCACAATAGTAGCGATGGTTGATTGGGGTTTTGTGTACAGCCTGGCCAGCTCGGAGACACGCACTCCACTTTCATACTTAGCAGTGATCTCTTTCTTCATATCCATAGTAATTCTCACCCTTTTTGCTGTAGGGTTGGCACTAGAAGCTTTCTTGGGGCCCATGGTGACTTATTTTGCAGGTGCAATCACTAAAAAGGCTGTGATAATATGAAATGTTCCGATTGTATGCTTGGAAGCGACCGCGGTGGCTGGCTGGCTTGCAAACACTGGCCAGAAGTGGACGCGTCTCAGACGGAACGAATAGTGTTGGTCGAGTTTTTTAGCGCTAATTGAGGCAAAATTTTTGCGATAAAATGTATCGCTAGTCAGATTTATAGTTAATCGATGCCATCGCTGGTCGAGGGTCCACTGTATCCCATTCCTACAAGCTCAACAACACTACACTACACACACAACCCACATGTAGGAGAATGATTCAGCAATATTCATTAGGGAAGAGCTCATCTCCAATCTTATTTTGAACCTTACAAGTATGTTGTGCTTTAACCCCTTGAGGGTCCGTGCCGTAGATCTATGGCTTTACGTTGAGGGTCCAAACTGTAGATCTACGTCATGAGCTCAGTTCACTCAGATAAGCTGTGAGCGGTAAATTTTGGCCTTGATATGAGAGAATGCATCTATGTGGTATGTGTGCACCACATAAAACAAATCCTGCAGCACAATGCATAATGAGAGAAAAAACCGAGACCGTAATTTTCGATTAAAACAGCGAATTTGCAGTGTTTTTTTCACATGTTTTTTATGGTTGTATTTGTGATTTCTTGGTCTCATTTGATAGAATGGAAAACATATTACAGAAATAGAGATGATTTTGATTGGTTTTAGTAATGGAAATGGCTTGAAACTGAGCTCAAAGTAGCGGAAATGTTAAATTTTTTACGATGTTCAAGAGCAAACAAATGACCTCACACGCCTAATACACGCCTGCTGGTGGGTCTAATATACGTTCACAAATGTGCTGATATTATTTATACAATTATTACAATATTGTGTAACAGTAAATCTTCTATTTTTTGGTCTGAATAAAAATTCATTATGTGAATAAAAAATCAAAATGGAATTCATTAGTAAAGCCTGAAAACTTAACTAATGAACAGAGGAAATGCTAGTTTAGTGCCAGGAATGCCTGCATTGTGTATTCTGGACACTATTTTGAAATTGGAGTATTTTGAACTATGCATTAAATTGGCCACATTACCAATTTCCGATCACTTTATTTTGTAGTTGCAACGGTTGACTTGGCGAATTCTTGTGCTCAATCGATAAAATAGAAGTAATACTAGTGAAATAGCTAAGAACATGGTTGACTGGAATAATTGAATTGGCCTAGAATGGGAGTCAAAGTCGGCAAAATCACCGATGCATAAATATCGCTGACACATAAAAAATTCGCAAGAGCATAATTTAGTCAATTTTCCATCAAATTTCATATTTTTTGTTTTATTACCTTCAGAAATAGATTCTCTACCATTTCATAAGAAAAAATAAAATTGAAATTTGGCCTCTGGACCCTGAAAGGGTTAAGAAACTTGAGCATTGAATTATGTGGGTTTACAACAACTGCACTGCTAATACTTACAAGTTACAAGAGCATTATGGTAACAGCAAGTATCAAAGTATGTGTGGCCAAGCAGTAGCTTGGAAGCCACATGTGATATGCTAACTTGTTTTATGCAGCTAATCGAGACAATATCCAGAACAGTAGGTAAACCTGGATGGATAGTCTCGCAAAACTACATTGAATGAGGAAACTCAAGCTTAGTCATGGCTGGTCTTGGTCATGTATATAATAAAGCATAAATACTTTTATGCTGTAAAGATTACTAAAAAGAATAAGAAGAAAATTGTCAAAGTGGGAAGTCTGAATGTGCGTGGATGTTGTGCAAATGATAAGAAAGAGATGATTGTGGATGTTATGAATGAGAAGAAGCTGGATGTCCTGGCTTTAAGTGAAACAAAGCTGAAGGGGGTGGGAGAGTTTCAGTGAGAGGAATAAATGGGATTAGGTCAGGGGTTTCAAATAGAGTTAGAGCTAAAGAAGGAGTAGCAATAATGTTGAAGGATAAGCTATGGGAGGGAAAAAAGGACTATAAATGTATTTAAATTTAAGGATTATGTGGAGTAAATAAAGATTGGATGTGAAAAGTGGGTTATAATAAGCGGGTATGCACCTGGAGAAGAGAGAAGTGTTGAGGAGAGAGTGAGATTTGGGAAATTTTTGAGTGAATGCTGGGAAGTTTTTAAAACAAGTGTGAGAGTAATGGTGGTTGGGGATTTCAATGCTAAAATGGGTAAAAATGTTATGGAGGGAGTAGTAGGGAAATTTGGGGGTGCCAGGGGTAATGTAAAAGGGGAGCCTTTAACCCTTTCAGGGTCCAAGGCCAAAATCTGAAGTCACGCACCAGTGTCCAAGAAATTTTTAGAAAAAAAAAAAAAATTATTTTTTCTTACAGAATTAAAGAGCATTTTTTTGTAAAGGAAATAAAACAAAAAAAATAAAAATCTGATCAGCTTACCGAGATCCATTCCAAGAATTTATAGAAAATGATGTGGTGGGGCAACACGACGAATTCCACATAGGGTTATTATATTATTTTGTTTTTTAGTTGTTTTTTCCTTTTTTTTTTCCAAATTTTTTTCTACCCTTTTACAAAATTTGGGGCCTGAGGAGACCAATACTTATATAATTGAATATAAAACTCCTTATTAAACCAAAATAACCGCACTAAAGTTATTATCATATTATTGTTTCCACTTTTTGTTTATTACAAAAACATGCAAAAAATTGTATAATACTAATGTTCTATTATATTTTTTACATTTTACAATCACGGAAACAGGTTTAGAACTGC